TCAAATTTAGTTATGTAATTTGAATCATAGTAATAGTTCAATTTCAATTTGATTTAGTTTGATTTAGTTGTAATAAGTGCACTTCAAATTTAGTTTGATTTTATTTTCATGTATTCTAAGTACATTATCACGAGCTTAATTGAATACATAGAGCTTAATTGCATATATTTTGTGTATTATACGGGCAATTCAGCCCCGGAAAATGTATCTAGAATACATAAAATATTGTCTTATACGCTATTTCTTATATTTTGGATTTTATATAATCTATTTGGTGCTCACGGGCTCTCATTGCTGTGCACAGGCTATAATGATCAGCACCCAGTCCACCTAAGTGACGGTGACAGTGGGAGGATGACGTTTTCCAGACTCCGCCGTTGGTGTTGGATTAGGATGCGGAGATGGAGGCACCGCGTGTGCAGCGTTCAACCACAGGCCAAATCAACACACGGGGGACGCCGAAGGACCTTGCAAACCTTGTGGGAGCTCTAACCCCGAGGCAAAGGGAGGATGTTATAACAGTTGGCCTTGGTGCGTTGCTGGGGTTTAAGATTACTGAGGTACCGTTGCGGTTGGGGCATTGGCTGGTCACTAATTTTGACCCGACTGAGATGCGGATTGACTTGGGGAATGGTCGGTACATTCCTGTCACCAAGGAGGATGTCTCCGCCGTTTTTGGCCTACCGTGTGGGCCAATACCGATATCTGAACGGGATAGCCAGGTGGTTAGCCCAGAGTTGCGGGACTGGAGGGACGTGGTGAAGCAACAGAGGGGGAGGGTTACAGTTAGGGCGTTATGTACGCGGATGCGGGAATTGACTGATGGTGGTCCGTGGTTCAAAATTCATTTTAGTGTCGTAGTGATGACCACCCTTGTTGCGAGCACACCCAATGGATATGCAAACCAGAAAACTGTGCACGTCTTGAGTAGTGTGGACACGATTAAGGACCTCGACTGGTGTGGGTACTTGCTCCTCTCATTGGTTACTACCCATCAGAGTTGGACTGAGGTTTCCTCTCGCAAATTCACTGGCCCACTCCTATTTCTAGCTGTAAGTGAATATTGGTTTTGGCTCCGTAGTATCTGTGTGTTTTATCTTAGCTAATAATGTTGTGTATGTCTCTATTATAGCTCTTGTATTTAGATAGGGTTGTGGTGGGGGTGCGGGAGGTCCCAAGGGCGATCCCGGTGGTGGTGGAGTGGACCGCAGATTTCATCAAGGCACGCGTGCAGAGTGAGCTTGATTCTGGGGGATTTGGCAGGGGTCTGGTGGATGTTTCTCTCTGTGCATTCCAGGCCGGTGCATCGTTACCAGTGGTCGGGGGGGGGGGGGGGGGGGGGGGGGGGGGGGGGAACCGCCGCACGGGCATGCTCGCGTTGAGAACGTGGTATGCTCTTCGATGGAGCAATATTTGTCAAACATTTTTTTTTTTTGGAATCTGCATGTTAACATTCGGTGTTGTGCAGGGGTTTAGGCAGGAGGTCGCAGTGATCAGTGCTGAGTTGCGTTCGCTGACCACACGTGTCGGCGACTTGGTTTCCAAGCACCCGGATGAAGTGCAGGAGGATTGCAATTTCCAGTGGGTGGTGGACTCAATCAAACAGTTTGGGGATATTGTAAAGTTGCCATCCAAGGTAGCTGAGCTAGCTCCTCAGTCGCCCGCCCCGTCGCCTTGCCGCGATGAAGGACCGTTAGTCTATGACGCAGACTTTATAAGAGAGTTGGACCAGGCTGAGTTGGCTGCAATCGGGACTTATGGTGTGTCCGATGTGCCAAGTTTTAGCTTGGGGTTAACGCAAGAGTTTGCAACACACAACCAGATGAACAACACGACCCAACAGCCGGTCACCACTGCACCACCTCCACAGGTATACTAATGCATAATAGGCTTTGCTTCTGAATTTTTTAGAGGCTAAATTTTAGGCTAACGGTTGCAGGAACCTATCACCGCAAGTGTTGTATCTCATCCTGCTGCAGAGCGCACAGTTTCTGGGGCAACCGAGACTTATGGTGTGTCCGATGTGCCAAGATTTAGCTTGGGGTTGACGCAAGATTTTGCGACACACAACCAGATGAGCAACACGGGTCAACAGCCGGTCACCACTGCACCAACTCCACAGGTATACTAATGCATATAGGCGCTGTTTCTGAAAATTTTAGAGGCTAAATTTTGGGCTAACAGTTGCAGGAACCTATCACCGAGAGTGGTGCATCTCATCCTGTGGCAGAGCGCACAGTTCCGGGGGCAGTAGCTTGGCACCACGTGCAGGAGCCACTTGTTCAGCATGGCCTGTCGCCGGGGATTTACTTCAGCACCACGTTTAGTTACCCATCTTCTCTGCTGCCGCACGTGTATGTTCTGTGGATGTGGGTATTTAGGTGCCCCCAGGGTGGACGGTAAGTGGCATTAATGTAGTTGAGTTTGGGGTTTTGGTCGTATAGTAATTACGATTGGTAACTATGATTGGGTTCTCTTCTAATTATTGTTTTGATCCCGTAGCGATGAGGTGTTGTTCCAATATGCTGAGCAGACTGTAAAGTGGGCACAATTCCAAACCCTAAAGGAGGGGTCGAATGTGTCCAGGACTATTGTTGATGCCTGGTGCTATGTCATGAATGCCCGGGAGAAGGTGAGCACAACTGGCGGCGTGACCCGACTGTTTCTACCCACTAGCACGACGGTATGGTAGTATACCATATTTTTTGCCTGTATACCATATCTTCTGCCTGTGCACTAGGTGAACGGTGTGGTGCATTGCGAGCTCTAAGCCCTTCTAATTAGCATTTGTAATATGCAGATTGGGACCGTTGATGCAACATCAGCTAGCGAGGAATGCCAGGATCGCTTGGTTTGAGAGGCGCATGGATGTGGAGTTGGGGAGGATGGGCTGCGGGCATACCGACGATGTGGATTTGGTGATGTACCCTAGTCGCTAATATAATTGCAACAACACATAACCTCAATCCACTAATCCTCCTTTTTAATCCCAATGCAGTTTGTTTTTCCAATTTTCAACAATGACACCTATTACATGATGGCTATCAATTTCAAGCATCCCCGATTTGACATCATTGACAGTTCGTCTGGCGAAGAAGACTAACAAAGATATGTATGGGGGGGCACCGGAGGATCTGGTATGTGGCTTTGTCATTGTCATGCTGTGCAATTTTGAGGTTGCAGTAGTGAACCTAAAGCATTAACGGGGGTACAATGTCTATGAGTGTTAGCTTTACTTGTAGGTTAGTAGAACTGTTAAAAACAGCTGTAATTCAGGTCAGAGTAACCAGTACTAAGGGGGCATAAGGGTGATTTGAAGCTCTAGGTTTATGCTAATAACTACGGGGCTAATAAAATTGATAGATCACCACAGTGCTATATATATTTCTCAGTTTTTCATTAGTGCCAAACCCGTGGTAGTTTCGTTAACTGTGGTCTTGGGGTTGAGGAAGAAAGGGAGTGGAATTTAGGGGGTAGTGGGAGTATGATGAGTGTTGGTAACATTAACATTCTGCCTATTTATGTTTCTCATATTCTACATATTTACTTTTGCAAAAACATTATAAAGACACATATTCTGCTTATGTAGTTCAACATTTTGGGGCAACAGTTTGCACTCACATTTCTAATATTTTTTTGGAGTCCAATGTAATTAGTCATGTGTCTAATTATATGCCTAATTATATATTAATGGGATGGTTTATGCCCCCTTAACTTAAATTACTATCATCATTATTAATGATCAGTGTGGTGCAGATCATGTGTCTGGGTGCGTACCTGGACTCTAAGCTGCAGGGACTACGCAGTGCATGCCTCCAAATGATGAAACCGAAGAGGATGCAGATGGCATGGAGGGATACCACGTCAACGTCGGAGTCTGGGGTCTTCACGATGCGGCACATGGAGTCATACGCCGGGCAGGGTTGTGCGAGCTGGGATTCTGGCCTGCAGCGGGGGAATGCTATGCAACTACTAAACTTACGGAAGAACTACATGCATAATATCTTGCTCAGTGTGGTTAACACTCATACAAACAACATTGCAGCGCGCGTCGCGGGGTTTGAAGGTAAAAGGTTGGCAGAGATGCATCGGTGATCGTTACAGGGTGCTGGAGTAAATACATTTTTGCTAGTAGGTACACCTCCAATCTGGGTGGGTTTTTTTTTTTTTTTTTTTTTTTTTGGGTACAGCAGGTATTGAGTAGCGCAGGCAGGGTATGCTTGGATGTTTTGATTAAATTATCGTAGTCAGTGGTAGACTTTGAATACTTAGTCTAGTAGTACGGTTGGGGCAGTGCATCAGTGATCAATAAATTTTTAATTGAATTTTTTGAGAAATAAGGTGCTTTTCCCAGTAATTATCAATGCCTTGTTGCTCTTTGTTATATATTGATCTGGTCATAAACCAATAGCAGCGCACCCCTAACAAACCAGAGGTGCACCACCAATCCAAAGGCAGTGCAGCCATGCAGATGCATTCTACCGGTAGCATGGGTATACTATTGTTTGTGCACCATCAGCCCCACAAATGCACTATACTAAACAACCCCTACTAACAATTCTATAGGAAAATGTGATTACTAGACAAGCAGCTACACACTGGGAAACAGTTTCAACCATCCACCCAAAAAGTTGTGCTTTCAAATTCAACATTAATCGTGAATATTCAACATTAATCGTGAATTGTTATGCAAGTTGAACTTAGCAGAATTCAATGCTTCAATAAAAAATCACAAATATTTGCTGGGGAAAAAAAACTAACAAAAAAAAAAAAACATAAGGGGTTAAAAATACCAATGCTATTTAAATTAGGTAAACGAATTACATACAGAACTTTGTAGCTAATCTAAAACGGAATAAAAAAAATGCAAACAGACTCCAAATTTACCAGCAAGCTACTTTGAGGGACAACTACGAGCGTTATGCCAGGCGTATTTGCCACAAATCCCGCACTTTCGGTCGGGTTTCACATTTTTCTCGATGGCTAACTCCCTACTGCTTTTAATGCGCTTCCCGGTGCCTTTGTTTTCTGCTTAGGGCAGGGGCTTGGATTGTTATGGATTGTGGTGGCTCCACGCCACATAATGCCTGGATTGCAGCACGGTTACCCTTAACCGGGTTCACAGATATACCGTCACTAGCAAATTTAGCGGTAAGACCCTGAAGTACCGCCACCATCCGTGTTTGTCATTCTATGCTATTACCTACTAACCCAATGCACGTGTTTATCTCAATCCATAGTTGGGTTGCTGCGGGTGTGGGTTTATCACCATCAGACGGGAGACCCTTGCATGCACCACAGTTTAGGTGTTTGCACCAACGGCTCACAATGTATTCGGGCGGTAATTGTTCCAACTGGGCACCCCTGAAAACCACAAACATATGTCGACAGACTAGGCCCATTCTTCGGAACAAGTTGCAGCTACATGACGTTTCAAGACCGCTTACCTTGTAGTGCACGGTCGAAATAATGGCGCACTCACCATCAATGTCGTAATAAGTGCTGTTCCCGTCTTGTCGTACACCGACCACAGAACAATAAAAACAAGCAGCTTCTATTTCTTTCTGTAACTCGTAAAAAATAGTGATCATGAACAGCTGTGCAATATGTCGCTCGAGTGCTAAAGGTGTTTTAAACTCTGGCAGGTATCCCTCGCATTGTGCGTTCAATTTATCTTGCCGGTAGCGCTGTGTTCTCAACACGCTCTCGAATTGCATGTAGAACTCTACCAAACTAGAATGTGGGCGTGTGAATTTACCGTATACGCCATTCTCTGCTTCTGACCGGTGATGTGGTACGCAACAACCCACTCATGGGCAAATCTGAGAAAAAAAGTCGGGATCTAACTTTCTCGTTCCGCATACATTTTGCAAAACCATCGGTAGGTGGATAGATTGTATTCATCCATTAGTAGTTGCCATTGGGCCTCAAACTCCACACGGTCGATTGTCTCGTTCCAAATGATAGCATTTAGTTTCTTGCGGAACTCATTGTCCTTAGCTAACTCACTGACGAGCTTTTCATTAACCTTTGTCATGATGTGCCACATACAGTAGCGATGATGGCATTCTGGTAATACTCGTTCGATAGCAATTCGCATAGCGGGGTCTTGGTCGGTCACAACACACACTGGCCTCTTGCCCATTGCACATATAAATTGCTCCAACAACCAGCTGTATGAGTCAGCATCTTCTTTAATCAACAGACCGGCCCCGAAAGTGATGCATCGTTTGTGGTTGTCCACACCAGTGAACGGCACAAACACCATGCTGTACCTGTGCTAATAGCTGTGAAATTTTCAAAAAACAAAACACAACAGTTTCATATATACAGTGCTAATAGCTGTGAAATTTCCATCCCCCAAAAAAAAAAAGAAAAAAGAAACCAACTAAAAAATAGAAATTTCCATTAACGCCATTGCGCATACCAGTACTGCCTTGCCGGTGCGTCATATTAAAACTAACCTCTGAACATCACAATTGAGCAAGTTCACTACTTTATTTATCAAGTACTGCCTTGCCATTGCATCATATTAAAACTAACCTCTAAACAACACAGTTGACAATGGCAAGGCAGTTAGTTAATACTCTATTTTATATAATTTGGATTACAAATTATAAACTATTCTATTTAATTAGTTAATAGTAGTTTATGATAATTTGTGCCTGCTATTCAAAATTAGATTTGGGAAAACAACACCACTAACATAAGCTATATAATTGACAATGGGCGTCATTTTATACCAATTTCTGTGCAGTGCATAAAATCGTATAAAGCTATGCATTTAGTCGCTAGTGTGTTTGTATATCAACTCATATAATTACCGGGAGGTCAGTACAAACACCAATTAAAACAAGGGGGATTGGAAATCAAATTGTAGCATCGTACCTGTTCGTGCCATAGGTTGCATCGAAAGAAATGTTGTCACCATAGCAAGAAAATTTCCGCCTACTGAGGGGGTCAGCCCAGAATAGTCGTGATACCCGGTGCTCTTCATCCAGATCGTATTCAAAGAAGAAGTCACTACAAGCTTCGTGCTTTGCCTTGAATGTTGCAATAATCATCTCGCCATCAGCTACATCAACGTACGTTTGGACGTCTCGTTTAAAATTATGGAATTCAACGTCGGTTGCACCGATATTTGCATACGATCCGGTCTTCTCTTTGCAGAACCGCAATCCTGTTGAAGCACCGATGTTAGCCTTAACACAATTACTTAAAAAAGCTTGTTGGACCACACCGAGTCGTCGGTTAATTCGCATAAAAACTTTGGATGGCTCCGAGCATAGCTTGTGGGTGTGTTCCTCAACCAAAACGGACACTTCGAACTCGCCGGAGCTTTTTTTCGTAAAGGCAATCCTGGCTCCGCAATTAACTCTATTAGAAAGACGGCAGCGCCGCTCCCGCTTCTCTCTCCCACCTAGTACCCGCTCATAACCGTGAGGTTTATTACCACCACCTTTCACCCCTTGCCGACTACACACCAAATAGCGTGAGTAGATTTCTCCGTCTCGGTCGCGCTTCACGGAACTCTGGCGGACATCAAACCCGCATATTCGAGCGTAGTTGATATAGCATTGGATACCTTCGTTGAGTGTTTTAAATACACGCCCCAGCGTCGGCCTGATGGAAGCGCTCACGGTGGGGGTCCATTGTTGTTGGCCGGTCGTTGTTGAACCCATAGCAAAGCCTGGTTCGGACGCTGTTTCCGGTATCATCGCTACGCCTTCAGCACAAACACGGGACGGATGTTACGGGGGGAAGAAAAACAGTGTCGGTAGCCATGCACTTGGGAATAATTACTCACAAACCTTTTACGCCGCCGGCATCGGGGTTGCTTGTCGTCATCTTTCGTTGTTCGCGCACGGTTGTTTTACGGATGAGGTGTCCGAACCGCAAATCTCGCAACACAGGCGGAAGATGCAATGTCAAACTCTATCCAAATGCCCGTGGAATGGGAGGGAGAAGTGTGGTTACGTATAGACACTGTGTATCCCATGTTACGTGGTGCAGGGGGTTGGTGTGCGCAAGTCATCTTGAGCCCTACGATCTAGTACATCAGAGCACCGTATTGTTCCACAAGTTCACATGTTAATAATGGTTCGCACAAGAAAAATAGCATATATATATATATATATATATATATATATATATATATATATATATATATATATATATATATATATATATATATATATATATATATATATATATATATATAGAGAGAGGTTCTGGTGTAGGTGGTAATCCCAGGTGCGGTTGTGCAAGGAGAGGAGAGCGATTAATTTTGTTTAAATCAACGTTCAGGATTATCAAAATTTTTTAAAAAAAAAACACGGTGGTAATTTGGTAATTTTTGCAACTAGGTCATATTTAAAGTGTGCGGGTTTGATGCTTAAGGTGCGTGGGTTTGGTGCTTAAGGTGCGTGTGATTGTGCTTAATGTGAGTAGTTGTTGAAACTTAAATGCGTTAGTTTTGTGCTTAAGGTGCGTAGGTTTTGTGTTTATGGTGCGTGAGTTTGTGCTTAAGGTGCGTCATGTTTCTTCTTCGCACACCATTTTCTGTAAGTGACGGGTAATTCAGACCCTCAAGAAGAACAAAACTTTTGAAATGAGGGGTGGTTTAGACCCTCAAGAACAAAACTTTTGAACAAAACTTAATGTGCGTCATTTTAACACTTAAGGTGCGTTGTTATAACACTTAAGGTGCGTTGTTCTAATACTTAAGTGCGTGTTTCTATCACATAATATGTGCCATTTTTAGCTCATTTCTTCCAGACACGCATTTTTTTTTTTAATAATAATTTTCATTGATTTGAGCCGTCAACCAAACAACCGCACGGGAAGCTTTTACTGCACCTGAACCCTTCACTATATATATGGTTTAAATGAGGACATTGCTTTTTGTGCGGCTGGTTCGGATTCATCATTAGGTATGTAAAAATACATCACATAGTGTTCGGAAATGCACCAATACACCACCAAATGCATCATACCACACCTAATGGTACATATTCAAACATTTTATAGTGTATTTATGTGTACCTAATTATGGTGAGTCACTGCATGAAAATTTGACCATATGTGTGTGTATGTGTGTGTAGTATTAAGGGACCGTAAAAATCATTGTATGGCTATAATTTAATGTTAAAATAGTTAGTATGAATAAAAGAGTGCTAGCCTACGAGTATAGTAACAATAAAATTTTGTCATATACCTATAATTGAATGTTAAAATAGTTAGTATGAATTTTTTTTTTTGAATGCTAGTTAGTATGAATTTATGTTCAGAAAAATTTAAAAATTGAAATGTAAATTGTTGTCTGTTTATGTGTCCATTTTCAAGAGAAAATGAGCCAAGTTAGGGGAAGTGTTATGTGGAGTTCTGTTGGCTCTTTGGTCCGATGACCTGATGTATCCTTTCAATTCACAATTGATGATATAAAAAAAATATGAAATTTATCAGGATCAAGTAATAGAGAAACAATAGTTGTAGATGCGAATGAAAAATTGGAGATAGAAAAAATAGAGGAAATTAGGAATTCAAAATTTTGACTTTAAAGGGTCAAATGTTTATATATATAGTTCGATAATAAGTAAAAAAAATATAAATACACATGACATCTCAATCAGCGCAAACATGTTTGATAACCTGCTAAAAATGTTAATTGCTATTTTTTACGATTTCATTAATAAGTTTGGAACTTATTCGAATTCGGTGACTTAATTGCTATCTCCCAAATAATTCAATGCATTTTGTAACTTTTCTCTATATTTGACTTAACACCTTTTTTCCATTACTCCTTGAATTGGTTTGTGTTGAATATGATTTATTTTTTTTAGTCATTAACTAGTATTTTCACCCGTGCGATGCACGGAATGAATTTATTATAATATTTGAAGAATATTTAGAATGATATACAATTGTATTATGACATCGAATATTATATACTGCTTGAATTTGAGCAAATAATTGTCCAATTAATAGTCAACGTGTAGATGTACGCATCTGGTGTTGAAACTTTAGATATTTTATATATCAGTGTTTAGAATTTGTATTAATTGGTCTAATTAGCTCCTATCTAGCAACTCAGTTATAGAAATTATTTGTATGGAAGATATATTTTCTACGTAGATATATACCAATTTTGTCATCTTTGCATAAAAAGAAAACATAATATCGGTGGTTTGAATTACACATTATTTAAAACCTCTTTGTAGACGACATTGGTAGTAGCAACAGGATTTTGTCAACCCTCGTCTGGAGCTAACACCTTCAACCATCAAGATAGGTGACTCGGGAATAGCCACGCACAATTGATTGTGATTAAAGACATTTTTTTTAGCAATAACCCAACGTGTGTTAGTGTTTGGCTCTGGCTTTTGTTGATAGTCATAACATATGCGAGCATCAACAAGAATTGTTTACGTTGTAACGTGAAGGGCAATCTCGTATCGGAAGGGGTGAGAGACATTCGGGGGATAAGAACTTTGGTTCCTTGATATGTCCGATTAGCTATTATTACTTTGACAATGTGATCTACCAATCTTGGAACATGATGCGCGTACCGTTGCAAAGACCAAGAGAGTGGTCTATGTTCTACAACAACATAATAGGTGCACCAACCTTTAACGTCAATGAATGATTTGGAAATCCAGACAATCTCAAACTATTTAAGAATTCAGGAGTATTTACTTCTAATATAATAGATTTTCACCGTCTGATTCTACCTTACACAAAGAGTCACAACTTAAATATGTTCGACCTTCTGCAGTTTAATGTCACATATGTACTGATTAATTTGATCAATGACATCTAAAGTCGGTGCGGTGATCGCTCGGCCTTCTAGTGAAATATTAATATTCATTTCCTTTCTCGTCCATAAAAAGAATTGATATTCATTTTCATATAATTAAAAAGTAATATAATTATAAAAATATAATTACCGTTTATATTTCTAGTAAAATGTTAATATATTCATTTCTTCTTTCCTTCATAAATAATTAATATAATTACAATAATATAACTGTAAATTATATTTTCAGTGGAATATGATATATTCATTTCCTTTTTCCTTCATAAAAAAAAAAAGTTAATATTCATTTCCATTTGTTTTTCCTTCATAATTATTTTCTAATATTTCATTTGTGGTTATTAATTTTTTCGTAGGGAAAGATGTGTTATATTTCAATGAATTTTTAATATTAATTCACTTTTTCATTTGGCCTGATTCCCATGCATATTAGTAACTGAATATTATAATAGATTCCCGTGTAAAATTCATTTCGTTTTTTCGTTCATAAAAAGAATTAATATTTATTTCTATATAATTAAAATGTAATATAATTATGAAAATATAATTGCTGATTTTCTTTCGAGAAATATTAATATATTCATTTCCTTTTTCCTTCATAAATAGTTAATATAATTAATAAAATTATAATAATATCATGGTTGATTAATATTTATTTCAATTCATATTTCTTTATAAAAAAATTAATATTCATTTATAGTCATAAAAATAATCTGATACGTTTGTAATATTCATTTCTATACATAAAAAATAATATGGTACGTGTTTAATAATCATTTCCTTTTTCCTTTGGCCTAATTTTCGGTTTGACCAATTATTTATTTAATTATTAAGCACATACAACATATGAATTTTCTGTGTGCATCTGTGTGTTCAACAAAAATAAAACATACAATCAATAAAATGCTCAGGGACGACTTCAATCGTGTATTATACACTTGAGACCCAAATTAAAAATTGTAAATTTTGCAATATGTATAGTTAGTAGTAATAATATACCAAAAGAAATTGCATTGATACATACTAGTATTTGCACCCGTGCGATGCACGGAATGAATATGTTGTAATATATTAAGAATATATTATATAGTGCACTTAAAGATATGATTTGAATCGTTTATATATTTTGATGTTATCATTGCTTGAATTTGTGCAAATAATTGCTCAAATTAATAGCTAATGTCTAGATGTACGGATGCGGTCCTATAATTTTGAAGATTTTATTTATCATTGTTTAGTATTTTCATACATTAGGTAAAGGTGTTTGTTCTCTAACAACTCAGTTATAGAAATGAATTGCTATCCATATTCATTTGTATGGAAGATATATATATATATATATATATATATATATATATATATATATATATATATATATATATATATATATATATATATATATATATATATATATATATATATATATATATATTGTCTAGATATATAGCAATTTTTTTCATTTAAAAAAAAAATTTAATATCATCGATTATATTTACACATTATTGAAACCTCTTTGTAGACGACATTGGTAGTGACAACACAATCTTGTTCATCTTCGTCTAGAGCTAACATCTTCTCCATCAGGACGGGTTACTTGGGTGAAAATATATAATGGTAGAATATCACTCAATTAGTTATCCTTTTATATTTTCAGTCAATTCGTAATATCAGATTCATTTTCAGCCAATTATTCTTTTTTATTTTCAATCAATTAGAATATCAAATGCAGTGATATTTTTACCTAACTTCCGTTCCATTTTTAATTTACCTTTACTATTGTTTAAAATATGCATTTACTATTGATAATGTAGAATATTATTATTGGAATATTTTCCTCCAATTTTTACTTTTCATTCCATTTTTAATTAAAATGCAATGATCTTACCATTTTTTAGTCAATTATAGATCATTTTATATTTGCGGTCAATTATTAATATTCATTTCCTTTTATATTTTCAGTCAATTAGTAATATTAGATTCATTTTCAGTTAATTATTCTTTTTTATTTCCAATCAATCAGTCAATTAGAATATAG